TTGTGAGCGCGATCCTCTCTCGGTCGCCCCCCTTTTTCTCTCTTCAATCGGCTCTCTCTCTCTCCCCCTCTGTCTTCTTCTCTCTCTCTGTTCGGTTGATTTTTCGCGTCTCTCACTCTAACACTCTCTTCTTATCTTCTGCTCTTCTTTTCTTCTCTCTCTCTCTCTTCTCTCATCTCTCTCTCTCCCTCTTCCCTCTCTCCCTCCCTCTCTCTCTCTCTCTCTCTCTCTTCTCTCTCTCGTCTCTCTACTCTCTCTCTCTCTCTATATATATTATATATATATAATGTAAATATCAGGTTTTATACCTCTTCCTCTGCTAGTGTGTGATGAATGTGTGAGTATTGTGGTGGGTGCTCTTTCTTTTCTGGCGTCACACGTAGAGCCGCTGCGAATGATTTTTTATTAAGGATCTGATCGGGGACGCGCCGTGTCCAACGACAACAGAAACGACGGCCAGATCGACGACAGCCAGCAACAGCAGGCGAGCCAATATCAAGAAACAAAACGAAAAAATACATTACGACCAACAAACATTATCAATCATCTTCATTCATTTTATCAAACAACAACAACAACAGCAGGCAACAACAACAATAATACTATGCTAATAGCCAGAATAACAGAGCAACGAATAATAATACAACAATTATAACATCGGATAGCAATAGACATAATAGCAGCAGCAACAACAACAACACAATTACTACCAAATCAACAATCAAACAATTATAATAACAAACAACCACGAACAACAAACAATCAACAGACCAGACAACCACAAGAGCATACGAACTAAAGGCCTACAACAAAACAAGAGCAACAAACAGCTAACAACGATTTCAAAACGATCAAATCAACAACTAAAATTCACAACATAGCACTAAGCAACACAACAAACAAACGAACAACAACAACTACAACAACAACAACAACAAACAACAACAGCGACAACATCAACGCAACAACCAAAAATCATAATAACAGCAACGTGTACAAGCAAAATAACAGCCAAAGACTAACATATAACAGCAGACCTTTTAAATATTAACAAGTTACATATGGACAGCAACAGCGACGACGACGAGCGACGAGACGATGAGGACTTGAACGATCAGTAACATCGAGAGATTTAACGCTTCCACTTGACTTCTTACGTTCTCACTAATCCCGCCAGCTAAGATAAATTTACCAAACACTGCCTTGATATGTTTACGTAAACCCTCCAGTATTTCCGTCTGTTTCTCATACATCGTTTCATCAAGTTGTTAATCTCTCATCTTAAGCCTCCGCCTACAAACTAGGGATTTCTCTTCATAGGTCGACTCGTCATAACTACAATCTAGTCTATCCGCGTATGTCATACTTTTGTTCTCTCTCGCCGTTCGACTTCTCTCTCTTTATTCTTCTCGCCGTTTTACGCGTGTCTATATTCATTCGCCTATATCGGCATATTATATATATTACGTGCCACTTTTATATACATGTATTCGCTCTTTGTATAATACCAAGGCGCGCCGCTAGCGTAATGCATCTAGCGATGCGTCTCGCCAGTCTGCGAATCTTTTTTTCACGTCTATATGCAATAACGAATCCCTAAAGTATTAGCCATGGCAACCGCTACGCGCCGTAACAGCTGATGGAATGCGAAATGCCGTGAGTGATTGACAGCCTGTTATTTCATTGTCTCACATTTGGCAGTGATGATCATTAACACTTTTCGTGATCGCTAATTAACAAGCGTAATCAGCCAAATCTCATTATATCGGGCCGTTACGCGAGGACGAACACAAGTGGTTAATTCTGGTGATTGGGATCGACTTAATGTCTACTCGTGTGAGTGGTGGTGGTGTGACCAGCAGCGGAGTCCCCGCTCCCTGTCACCTGTTAATGTATATGGAGTTTAAGTAAGGTGATCAGAAGCGTACCCGCTCACTGTCACTCGTGCTGAGTGTTGAGTAGACGAGAAGCTACCCCTGCTCATTTGTCGACTACAATTCGTTTCGGGTGATGGGCGAATTAAATTTTTTCTTATCTTGTGGTAAAGGTGATGAAGGAAGGCTTAACCTGGCGTCGAGTTTTGTCACGCTGTGTGTTAATTAATTTTTACAGAAAGAGTTATGTGTTGTTACAGTGCCGGCGTAGCCAGAACGTGAAGTGGACAGACGCGACCTGACTCATCTGCTCTAACCTTCGATGTGAGTGGTGGAAAGTGACCAGAGCGACCTCGCCTCATTTGTCCCATCGTACCGCTGAGAAGTGTGTGAGTTGAGTAGAACAGAATGCGAGCCTTCCGGCCTCATTGCTTACCTCGGTGTGTAGTAAGACTTGGAGATTTTCTGTGGTGCTGGGAGTGACAGAGCGGACCGCCGCTCGACCGATGTCACTCCCTGCGTTGTGCTGCGTGGAGTGGTGGGTGACAGAGCGACCCCGCTCACTGTCACCTCGTGTGAGTGGTGGGTGACAGAGCGACCCCGCTCACTGTCACCTCGTGTGAGTGGTGGGTGACAGAGCTACCCAGCCGACTGTCGACATGTATGTTTGCCTACCAGATGCGGGTACGTCTGACATGTTTGCCTCCCGATGTGCAGACGAATCGCACTCTCGTGAGAAATACATTAGCTCGAACGAACAGGTCGCAACAATTTTCTACGAAGGCTACTGGCGACGATGTACGCGTCACGCTTCACCAAGAATCACGCGTGATTTCGCTCACGTGCGCTCACCAGCGCGACTCAACCGCAGCGTATCTGCCGTCGTGGCGGGATTTTTCTCAACGCAGTGCAAAAAAATACAACCGCACTTGTGAGGCGGACGCTAGCATTAAACACAAATGTTCCGCGTCGCAAAATGCGATGATTGCGAGTGGTGTAACAATGCTTATCCTCGCCCGGAGAAATCAGTCGCGCGTGCGCATTACGTAAGCCATGGCATGTAACGCACGCACGCGTGAGCAATGTTCGACTTTTCTGCCACTTATTCTCTCATCTTAACCACGCCGCCGCCGTCGTCACCACAACAGTCGCTCCCTCACTCAATTATTACGATAGCGCGTGCAATTCATTTTCAAAGAAAAGCGCGCACGAGCGGGACACATTTGATTTCAGTTCGCTTAAAAATGTCTATTACGTACGCGCACGTATATACCATACGCGTCGCGCGTCTGCGTCACGGTGAAGTCGCTGCACGCGCGTCGTGGTCGTTCAGGGTAGGGAGGAAGGACATTAGCAGCTCGACATGGCGAGGAGGATGCGGCGCCGACATGGCTTCCGTGATTCATTTTCACGGGAGGCTGACTAACGGCGATGCCGAGTCAAAGTCACCGCATTGTGATTGCGCGCGCGCTTTACGCCTGATTGTATTAATGTATTTTATTTGTGTTTTAACGGTGTTTTTTTTCTTCTTCTCCCTGCAGTACAATTCGACGGGCCGCCCTACCGCGGATTCATGCTACAGGCGCGCAACCAGACCGGTCACCGGGTCGGTACGTTCGCCCGCGAACAACTGCCGACCGGAACGCAGATACTGCAGTGCGAGCGGGACACGAACAACGCGGTCACGCACCAGAACAACCGCCCCAAGGTCGGGCTCAAGTTCACTTGGAGAGCGCCTATTACCGGTGGCGTTGGCACTATCAACTTTTAGTAAGCGATACGTCATGTTTTTCGCGTACAGATATTTTCGCGAATTTAGACTTGACGGACAATTTCGCGTGTTGTTATATGTTCGCGGTAGGAGACGCGTTCGCGAAATTCGCGAAAATTAAACCACCGCAAAATATACAGCGTATACAGTATTTGTAGCTGCATGGCAGCGCCGGCATTTTCGCTAATATTTCACTTGATCGACTTCTGATGAATGCGCAGCTTGCATTCATTCTTCGTTTGATGTATGTGGTCCCGGTAACTATTCTGGATCTAAGAGAAGCCCTGGTCGGTTTAGTCCCTATCTCGGACTGATTCCGTACCTACTCGTTCACTTATCTA